ATCTGTGTATTTGTTGCTTCCAGCCTTCCATTGTTCCTCCTCTCTTGTGCCAAGTGTGCAGTAGTTGTCTTTTCCTTACTTAGCTACATGCTGTTAAATCTCAATATTTATTTTTAAAAGCAGAACTATTTACAGGCAGTTCTTTTCTCTCCTTTACTATCTAGTGCTTTTCATGGAATTTTGACTTGTCAGCAGAGGTGAGCTATGTTTTTTTATGTTGTTCTAACATTGAACTCATCGGTATCTTTGTAGCTAAAACAGCTTTTGGAACACTACTATAGCAAAATGATGCTTCCTCTATTTTCAGGGTACGTACAGACATAGCAGATCTGATTGAGTTATCAACAGGAGAGAAGGTAAACTTTCTCAATGACCTTTTGTTTTTTGTTATTTTCTATACTACTTTTATTTTTCTTCACAAAGTGATTTGGCCCTGTTATTTATTTGAAAAACGTTACTCAAGGCCTTTGATTTCCATAACCTATTTGAATAAGGAACCACCTCCAACCCCTGGTACCTTACCACATCCTTTTGTCCAGCACAAAGATTATGTCATGCTTGGATGAAGACCTTATTACAGTCCTTATTAGGGCAGCCCTCTACAGGTTAAATGCTCTTACTCTGAGGAGTGATCAAAAAGAAACTTCTCCTAGCAATATTAATAGATTTTTAAGCAAAAAAGTGATGAGAAGAACAACTTCTATCAACTAAGGCTTTTGTTTGATTCAGCTCCAAATCCTTAAAGCTGTAATTTTGAAAAATGTTTGATAGGCAGTTAAGAAAATTGACATGTGGTTCCTTGCAGTGATAGGTTTAACTCTTTCTTTGCTTTTTTCCTTCGCAGTCACAGGATAATGAGACACTGGTGTTCTCAAAGATTATTTCCCTTGCAAGTAAGTAATTTCTTGAGTAATAAAAAGTGTTCAGAGAAGAGCCAAGAAGCTACTTATGTCTTGTCATTTAACCCTTTAACTCCCAAGATCTGATTGTTAATTCTCCCCTCCACCTGCTACACATTTCCTTGTAAATCAGTTATGAGAATTTAGTGCTAGATCAAGATAACAACTTCTACTTGATGAGTTGGAGTTTTCTCAATACCTGTTTGTGGGATAATGTTTGGATATTATAGGTAAAGGGTTAAGGAACATACAACTATCTGTTGGGTTATTTTTGTGTTCTAAATATATTTTTTTCTAACAGAAGTCGTGATCTGTATTCCTCAAATTAGGAGCTTTCCCAGATGCTTTTAAGTTTCAAGAAAATCTAAAAAAACTGCGTGGAATGATTAAAGAACCTTCCTTGAGAGAACTACTGAAGACATGTGTTAACCCGAATGTGGGGTGTTCAAACGTTTTCAAGGCAGTGGTAAGTACATTTAATAGAGTCGAACCGGTTAAAGTTACTCCATCAAAAGGGTCTTAACAGCAGGAACACTAGCATAAGATACCAATGATTGGATGACCTGTGTTGGCTGGTCATGTGATTATCAAGGAGTTGCATTTTCTTACAGTTTTTAATCTTTGGTAACAAGAAATGAATGATTCTTGTTCCTTATTTATTTGCGAAATTTCGAGGCTAACAGCGTTACACATGGAAACATTACAATGCACCGTTGTTACTACTAGTGGATTTGTGAAGCATAGGTCAATGTTCCCCAACTTTTCATCTAATACATTTTTTTGCTAATGTATATGTCATCTTGTTCAGTTTCATTTTGCTTCTCGTTTCTCTTTGGCAGAGTGACGTTGTCGTTAGGCTTGGGTCTAAGCATCCTGTGTTAGAGACACTCAAAGCACTCCTTGATCGTGCCGCTCCTCTTCTTGTGGATGAAAATTGCATCAAAGCGCTGTTCAAGTTGGTGAAAGATGCCATTGAAGGGCTTGCTGATGATGAGGATGATGAGTATGAGTGGCACGAAAGCTCTGGAATAAAACCTGTCGGGAAAAAGGGACTGGCACTGTTATTGGTGAGACGAGTGGTTTTCTGAACACAGTGGTCAAACGTCATGTGCGAACGTTGTAATTTTTAATCTGTGTTAGAGACAAACTCAAGCGAAGGGTTAAATCATCAGATTATCCGTAATTTAATGAGCTTCTTGTTCGAAAAGTCTCGATTTTTGCTTTTCTTTAGTTTTGTTTCCTTTTACAAATTTCTACGAGTTTTTAATTTTTTTCGCGCGAATTTGCGTGACAGCGGTCGTTTCTTATGTTTTCCGTTGAAATTTTGCGCGGGAAATTGACGCACGGCTGCCTACTTACACGTGTTTGACGTTTGACTGCTCTTATATAACGTTGAACTCTTTTTCCTCAAAGAGTGACTAGCATTTATCTTCTCCTAACAAAATCACCCCTGAATCACGCATGAAGGTCACAAGAATAAAGGAAACGATCACCAACTGCAAAAGCACTAGATTGGTAAACAAATTCTCCATGTCAGCTCTCTAGGAAATTCATTGAGAACAGTATGGAGAATATACATACTGATGTTAGGATGTAAAAGGGTTAAGCGTGGGAGACAGTGGCCTGACAGGAAGCGCCAGGAACACCAGGGCTCAGTTGTTGGACGGCTGACTGGCGTTCTTGGGTTAGCGCCAAGGTTAAATTTTATTCCGGGTCTTTTTAATTCCTTTGTTCAGAAGCCTGTTTGGGATAAATTTCTCTATTTTCTTTAGAGCATGTAGTCACAACATTGTAGACAAATAAAATTACGCTGGATCTCTTTTTTGAAGCTTTGAGATCTGAAATCAAATTTCACGCTAATCCTGGGTTATCTTAACCCAGCTTTGAACAACTCGACCCAGGTCGCTAGGTCACTGTTTCTCTCACGCTTAACCCGTTACTCCGTAACATCAGTATGCATATTCTCTATACTGTTCTCTCTCTATCCTAAGGTACTGACGAAGAGAATTTGTTTGACAATCAAGAGCTCTTTTAGTTGGTGATTATTTGCTTTATTTTCGCGACCTTAATGTGTGATTAAGGGGTGACATTATAAGGAGAAATTAGCTGTAAGTCACTCTCTGGAATCAAAGGGTTATGTATGGACAGTCAAAGCTTAAATTTCACGGAATCTTTTTTAGGGTCTGGCTGGTGTATTTCCTTCCCAGTTTCAAAGTGACGACACTTTTCAACAGCTGCTGGTTTTCCTGAAAAACAAAGATCAAGAAATAGTCGATCATTCACTAAAGATGCTGGCCTTGACCGGAGATGGAATTGAAAAAGTCAACAAGTCATTGGCCAATTATTATCATCCAGTCTTGTCCAAATTAGCATTAAAGGGAACACCTTGCCAAGCCAAGCACTCGCTGAGATCCATTGCAAAGATTTCTGCTGCTTCTTCACAGCCGTTTGATCGTGTCTTTACAGTAAGTGTTTTTAAAAAGAGTCTACATGTACCTCAAAATGTCATTCTGTTTCAGATTCGCTGATGTCTCCATCTCAATCTTAATTGGCGTGAGGCATGCAGCTTTTTTGTGATGGTGTGCCCATAGATATCAGTATTTATACATGAGAAATACAAGAAAAGCCGCTTGTTTTTTCACAAATAACGCGTAAGATAATGAGCGTTTAAAAAAATGTACTGCTTATTTTTTCGCAAATCATGCGCCAAAGGAGGAGCGCGATAAAATATCCCCCCTTTTTTTTTTCACGAGTTACGCGCAGGATGATGAGCGTGAAAAATGAACCGCGGAGCACGAGCGAAAAATATGCCACGCTATTTTTTTAACGTGAGTCACGTACTACCACGAGTTCCGTATGGAGAAAAAGACTGTGCCCAAGGGTTTGAGTACTTTGATGGTACAACTAGCTCTACAGGACTCGAACTTATATTTCTCTTCAAGCCCTTTATTAGATGCAGATTGACATAACAGTTTGTCAAATTATAATTTCAATTTTATCGCAGAATCTTGTCAGTTCCTTGAGCTACGATTGTCCTCTGTTACTGACCACACTGACAGCTCTTGGTGAGATCGCACTTTTAGCGCCATCTCTGTTCGAGACACAAAGGCCAGCCATTGTTAGAGATTTTGTCGTTAAGGAACTCTTGATGAAAGACAGGGGGGAGACGGCAGATTCGAATGAAAGTGAAGGGGAGTGGTGTGAAGACAGGGATGTTACTCAAGAAACGCAAACGAAGATCAAAGGTATACGTCTGCTGGTGAAGTGGCTGCGAGGCCGGCAGGGAAACCACAAGTCGTCCGTTCAGCCTGTGCTTAGATTGTTGGACAGTATGCTCACCCATAAAGGAGACTTACAACAGCAGGGATGTGTGAAGTAAGTATGTGGAAAATATTTGGAAATTTTATCGTTCGAACCAAACATTCATGGTAGAACAGTGGCCTAACGTTGAACATGCGCAAGAATATAAATTTTGACTGGTCGCACGCCAATTTTCTGCATAAAATTGGAAGGCATAGGAAACAATCACGCAAAATTTGCTGGCAGAACTCTATATTTTTGTTTAAGCCTCTGTATCAATTTAAATAAACTCATTGTTCTTGTTCTCTTACTGCTGTCTGAAGAGCTGCTGATTGTTCAAGACTTCGACTGGCAGCGGCCTGTGGTATGATCAAGATTGCACAGGAACCCCATTACATTGAATACATAACCTTGGAAAATTTTCAGCGGCTCTCGTTGGTAATGCAGGTAAAATTTGAATGTATGGATTGAGATCGGAGACGTTCATCTGAGTGATTAATGCTGCAAGGTAGATATTGTTGTTGTGCAGAATGAGAAGAGGGGTTATGCAATTTCAACATGAAGCTTGTGGGAACGATAACTCTAGATAATTTTGTGATGGGTGAAAGGCATACATAATGCACCAGTCATTACTTGTCCCCTGGGGGTGGGGTGGGGGGCGGGGGATTTTGGGTGGGTATCAGTCGTCGTTAACACAGTATAAAGATTTTAATTTGAAAACCATTGAGAAATAGTAAAAAATAGCCCAGCAGCGATGGTTGATCCAAAACAATGTTGGAATTAAACGGGACTTGATTCTACTCTATGAAAACTAACCTTGATGCTTTTTTTATACTCCTTTTTGTTGAAGGACCCTTGTTATGAGGTGCGTGACAAGTTTACCAAGAAGCTTCACAAGGCTGAAGATGTACTAAAACTTCCTCTGGAATATCTGGGGATATTTGCGCTGGCAGCACCTGAACCTGTTAAGGAAAGGAAAACACAGGTAAAATACTAAAAAGTTCAACACTTTGAAAAGATGAAAACGAGGACTCGGCTGACAGACGTTTGTGGAATCAAGGCTTAAAAGAGTGTAACGTTTGTTGCATTGGACTTACTTTTCAGGTTAGACAAATGATTACTAAGAACGTCAAGACACGACGAGATTACTTGAAACAGCATTCAGCGGCACAAGGTAAGAGGAGCAGACAACACTACGTTAAAATCATTATTTGTAGCTTACTTATTTTATGGTTGTTGTTGTTGTTGTTGTCTTTTAGAATGTTCTCATTCTATTCTCCCGGAGTATGCTCTGCCATGTGTTATCCATATGCTGGCCCATCACCCAGACTTCAAACAAGATGATCACGAGACACTAGTGCAATTCAAAGAGTAAGATTTAGTTATGGTTTTCTTATGCCTACGGGTGAATTTTTAGTGCAACTTCTGTTACCGTTGGGGATTTATTTCGATCACATTTTAAGTCAAAATTCTGCACTTTTTGAATAACATCACATCATGGGTTGTACAGGAGGAAAAAAAAACAGTTAATTGTATAATAAGATTCCAAAAATGCACGCAGGAACAAAAATGGCGAAAATTTGTTGAAATCGTCAAATCCACCAAGCTGATTTCGCTTTGACGAATATGACTTAAATTCACCAAAATCATCAAATCCATGAAAATTCACTCAGTTTGAGGAAATGTCGTCAAATCTGCCATTTACATTACTGCGTGCATTTCTGGACATAAGTGTATGATTGACCGGGTAAGAATAGCCCGGAAAACGTGGCTGTCGCCGTCTAAATAGCTCGTTTGTGGCACCCTCTCAATTTGGCATCCTATAATTGTAACAACATGCGTAGAACGCTCTAGGGAATTGTGCGCGGGGCGCTCTCATTGGCTCCTTGTGACATTTTCCTTTGTTCTGATTGGTTGTTGTGATTACTTTGGTTTTGGTCTTACGTCGCTCAATCAAAAAGCGCTCTTCTTTGAAACTCGGTTAGAAATTGCCCTTTTTCTTTTCCATTTCCCTAAGTTATCTTTGGTTCTTCATGGAGCCGATTATGGCCAAAGCTGATAACTACAGCTTCCTGAAGAAGCTGGTTGAAAACGTCAAAGAAACCAAAGACGCGCAAGCACCAGACGATGAAGAAGTAAACAAGGTAAACACGCAAATGTGATCTACC